CCAGCAGTCCTGCTTACAGGCACACGGATGAGTGTGTCACCCAGTGGGGATCACTGGGTGGGAAGGACAGCTCTTGTACAGTGGTGGAGAGAGTTGGAACCAGGATACAGAACAACTTCAAGGAAAGGAGTCCTACCTAGCTTTGTGGGCCTATCTCTGGGTGCAGGAACAGGCATGTCTCCCGGCATGTCCTTGTGGATGCAGGTCTGCTCCCAGACCACTACTGATGGGGCTGGAGTGGGGTCATGGACTGCTTCTGGCTCCATAGCTGGGACTAAGGTTAGCAGGCCTGTTTCTTGAGGCACTGGTCAGTGTGACTGGCCCCGGGTCCCTAGGCGGATGGTACTGGTGTCAGGACCAAGGCCAAAAAAGGGCTGTAGCTGAGACTTCGGGGGATGGAGCTGTTTCTGTATGTATATCCAGGACCACAGTCAATGATCCTGCCCCCTGGACACAGGATCAAAATGACCCTGCTTTGCACTGGAATCCACCAAGGTTTGAACTTTTTATCTGGATTCAAAAGCTCCCACAGAGGCACCTTTGCTCATTTGGCTGCTGAAGTTTCGTTGCTGTGAGGAAGTATGACCACGGGAACATAATCTGTAACTTTAAAATTGGAATTCAATACAGCTATTTACTATTAGAGGATGTTTGCAATTGTGGTATAAGTAATTTGCTAGATATTAACTACAGTAGTGTCCAATCATATATAAACACTGCATATTTCCAGTTGAAGAGGTTTAAAGCAGGATATTGGTTTACAGGGTGGCAAAGGCATCTAGGGAAGGCGAGGGAGGTAGGGAGGAAAGTGTTGTCACCTGGGGACCGGGAGTCCTTGCTGCTGGGGTCCCACGTGCCCCTCACTGCTGAGTAGATGGAGACTCTACCACCCAGCACTGTTGATGGAACCCTGCCCTGGTGATCTGCAGCAACTCTGATGCCTATATCCCCCTGTGTTCCTGAAACTGCCTTTGGGGTGCTGGAAACGGCAACCCCCACGTGGTCCCTATTGCCCATAGCTGCTGCAGCTGCCAGAGACCATTACCAGAAGCAGGAAAAAGACCAATTGCTTTCTTTCTCTCACCTTCAGTGAAAGAGCTCCAAAGCCTGTACTCTCAGAGCCTTACAAAAAGTCAGGTAACAGAGGAGTCAGGAAAAACCTTCTGCAGTCTGAAACTCTGGAGGTTAGAGGAAGGACACTGTCTGGACAAAGGTTGTTGTGGAAAGGGTAATACGACATGGGAAAAAATGATGAACATTTTTCCAGAACAAAGTACAGAAAAAAATTCAGAAGAGTTTGACTTCAGGATCCCAAGGGTAGGGCTCCATCTGTCGTCCCTGGTTTATTACATCTGTCTAGTACATGGTGTCCACTCAATAAATATTCATAGTATAAAGGCAAGATTGAACTTTTAAAGCATGATTTTTGTTGAGGTGATTATATTAGGGTTGATCTTTAAATTTTCATTGAACTAGCTTGTGTTTTTAGATTTGTTTATAATTTGCATGTCAGGATTTAAAGTAAGAACTAACACTTTAAAGCTAAATACAACTAATACAACATAGAATATAAGTGAGTGACAGAGGAAAAAAAGAGCACTATCAGGAACCAAATGAAAAGTGAGAGAGATGAAGGTGTGAGGCTGATGGCCTCTATTTTAGTCTTGCCCACAGTACTGGTTGGTGGCAATGTGTTTCATACATCATTTAAATTCTGAATTTCAGATTCTATGCCTGTGAAAGATAAGAAAAAATGACAATATCTCATAAAATTTGATGATTAAGTGAGGGTATATACACATAGGTGGTATGTATTTTGCAAAGTTGAAAGGCTAAGCCTATATATTAACCAATTCATATATTTCATAGATAATATTTTGATGATGCTGAGATTTGTGATTAATGTTAATATCGATTAAGAGTTTGAGTTTAGCATAGGAAATTTAAAAAATTAGAAGGAAACCAGAATCATGAACCATGCAGCAGAGATATTTATTAGCTTCTTTAGATCTTTTAATTGCATTCTAGTTCAAAGTCCCAGAGGTGACTTATCAACAGAAAACTTTCGTTCATTCCCTAAATGGACATAAAAAAAAAAACCAGGGATGATGTCATTTTTTGACTTTTCTTTGTGCTCTTAACCTGGTCATGCTCCCTAGTTGAGGCTTCACCAGCCAGGCAGAACTGCAGGAGCAAAAGGGTAATCACGGCTCTTGACTTCTTGTTCTGCTTCTGAAACATTCTGTTAGTTCTTGACAGAATTTCCTTCTTTTCCTCATCATCTATTTTTATAGAGAGGAGCAAATGTGTTCTTTTCTTTTGAATTTCATTTTTTATGAATTTATCTACTGTAATATATTAGGAAATGTATTTTTAATTTTCAATTATTTATGAGTAAAAGAACACATATTTCTTCTGTATTTTTGAATTTTTTTGTATATTGATGCATTTGTTTTTTGGGACTAAAATCTTAGAGGAAAAGTGACTGATTTTCCTTCGAATGGGGATGATTACTGAGGTTTACAAAACACTAGAGACAAAAGTCTCAGTCATATTTTTGCTTTCCTGATGATACTGACAGTGAGTGGACAAACCCAAATTGTAGACTACAGAGGAAGGACAATGCTCTGAGGAGAACAGAGGCAGTTATGTGCTCTGGGTCCCAATCTCAGACTGAGACACGAGTCCTTTCTCAGGCTGCTTGTCTGATGTTAGGCAGATAATCTGAAAACCTGAAATTTTTAAGTCTGTAAAAAAGATAAAATAAGAGGAGAAATGTGTCAAAGTATTAGAACAATTTCTGAGATGCTGTCAGCTTCAAATAGAGGTATGATATTCCTCTATTATTTTTTGATAATTACTCAAGTTAAATATGCACTAAGCTATTTGCAACTGGATAGAGAAGATTAAGAATGACTAAGGAAGTCAGTTGCCATGCAGGGTACACCTTATTACCTAATTTGTCAGGTGCCCTGGGTGGGCTTTTCTGAGGGGCTTCATGACAGTGGACCCCACTTACCAAAGCACAGCAGAGATTTGCTAAGCATATCCCTCTCCTGCTAAGCAACCTGCCCTCCTGCTCTCACTGTATTTGCCAGTCAAACAGCTTCGAGGTCTTCACATGTGCTGGTCACTACTGTGGTTCTTGCTTCGCTTTGGCTACAAATATGGACTAGGTAAGCAGGTGTATGTTCCAGCTTATTGGGCTGTTTTTAAATTTGACACAGACAATTATATATCTACATCTATATATCTATTTCTCTCTATATAAAGTAAAATATATCTCAGATGTATTGGATATGTATATTAAGGCATCAAATTCATTTGTGGTGTTGTCTACTACATCAGCACCCCAGGATCTTGGAACTGTTGATGAGTTAAGTGTCACAATTAGTTTTTGGAATTGTTACAAGGGTACAAAATGTACTTGAAACTCATACATTCTTTCTAAAATATCTTTAGATCATAACCACTGCTAAAGTCATTCCATATTCCTCTCTGCTTCTCAGTTTGCATGAAAAAATGATTATGGCAGGCAGTAAAGCAGGTGATGTTTACAAAACAACTAAAGCTTTTGTTTTGGCAAGCAACTGTGACCTGTAAATTCTGGTTCCTTCTTCCAGACTTAGTGCAAATGGTAGGAGATTTAAGGAGATGAACTTGGAGGACCATGTACTAGACAGGTAGGAGAAAAGATTCTCCTTTATATAAAACTCTGCTTAACCTGAATTAAAATAAGAAATATATTATTTATTTATATATTCGCATGTATATATTTATGTAAACATATGAAGTTTATACATATATAATAAGTATATGTACACACAAAAATGATCAAGTCTAAATTCTTTTTTAAGTGAGTTTTATGTTTGCTTTATGTATTTATTTACTTTACTGATCTTTTCCCATTTTATTTTGAAAGTCAGCTTCTTGGATTGGCAGTTGAGGGAAACTGCTAGGGGAGGGAGGGGAATACCTCATCAGCAAGGGTACTTGCATAATCAATGTTTGTATAGCGAACCCTGAATTGTACCCCACATCTTTATTATAAAAAAATTAAAAAAATAAAATCAGCTTCTTAAATGTATGAACAGGCACTGAAACTGGAGTACTGAAATACTGTATCTCATATAATAAGACAATAATAGTAGCAGACATCTCTTGGGTAGGTTTTGCAGAATAATTAGTGCAAATATTAACTCTTTAAATTAACAGTATATGTCAATCATCTCTAACTGTAAGTATTCTAAGCACTTTCATTGTTTAACCTCATTTAATCCTCCCACACTTAGGATCAAATATTACACTTATCCTCTTTTTTATATAGAGTGTATAGAGGAATAGAGAGGGGAAGTGGACCTATGGCTGCAGTCTGGCTGTGGTCTGGGGGTTCACCCCATGCTCCTCTGGTCTCTAAGGGTTGTTCACGTGTGAGTTTATATGTATAAACTTCATATGCCCTGCTCATGAGAGAGTGAAACTTGCTCCATGCAACCACAGAGTCTCACAGCAAGGCCTGATCCTGTGGGCAAAAGGGGTTTAAACTTTGTTATATAGAATGCACCTCTGAGTGTTTTTAAGATTTCAGATGTATTCTTAAACCAGAGAGGTTAATTTAATTCAGACTTCCATAACAAAAACTTTATAAAAAGAGTCTGATTCTCTTTTTTTCGGTGGTTCACTTTTTCTGTTAGTACAGGACAGTTATTTTGCAAATTTACAGTACTGTCGATAAACAGCACTATCTACCATCAGGAAAGTTTATGACCTGAACTATGATAACCTCCTTATAAGTCACTGATTCTTTTGACTCATAGTTGTGAATTCTTAGTTTGTTGTGTAAATGTGTTAAACTATAGATCATTTATAATCCCCAAATCTCCAAACTCATGTACTTTTCCTGGTTAGCACAAATAGGCTGATGTATGCACACACTTGAGTACTCACTAAACATTTATTTCAGAAAATTGCATTATATTAACCCCCAAACTGTTCTTGGTAGCCTAGGTAAAACCTCATGGACAACACTGTCTGGATGGTCAACAGCACTGGAGGGTCAGATTTTATCCTGATGGGACTCTTCAGTCAATCTAAACACCCAGTTCTTCTTTGTGTGGTCATTTTTGTAGTTTTCTTGATGGCCTTGTTTGGAAATGCTGTCCTGATCCTTCTGGTACACTCTGACACCCACCTGCACACCCCCATGTACTTTTTTATCAGTCAGTTGTCTCTCATGGACATGGTGTACATTTCCATCACTGTACCCAGGATGCTCATGGACCAGGTTATGGGTGTGAATAAGATCTCAGCCCCTGAATGTGGGATGCAGATGTTCTTCTATGTGACTCTAGTAGGTTCAGAATTTTTCCTTCTTGCTGCCATGGCCTATGACCGCTATATGGCCATCTGCCATCCTCTCCGTTATCCTGTCCTCATGAACCAGAGAATGTGTCTTTTCCTAGCATCTGGCTGCTGGTTCCTAGGATCAGTAGATGGCTTCATGCTCACTCCCATCACCATGACCTTCCCCTTCTGTAGGTCTCAGGAGATCCACCACTTCTTCTGTGAGGTCCCTGCTGTAATGATCCTTTCCTGCTCAGACACCTCACTCTATGAGACACTCATGTACATGTGCTGTGTCCTCATGCTCCTCATTCCTGTGACAGTCATTTCAAGCTCTTATTCCTTCATTTTTCTCACTATCCGCAAGATGATCTCAGCAGAGGGCCAGAAGAAGGCCTTTACCACCTGCTCCTCCCACATGACTGTGGTCATCCTTTTCTATGGGGCTGCCATCTACACCTATATGCTCCCCAGCTCCTACCACACCCCTGAGAAGGACATGATGGTGTCTGTCTTTTACACCATCCTCACCCCTGTGCTAAACCCTTTAATCTATAGTCTTAGGAATAAGGATGTCATGGAGGCGTTGAAGAAAATGTTGAACGTGAGACTTGTCTTTTAGGAAATTATAAAGTAGAGAATTTGGGTACTAATGATATATTTTCCTTTTCTGTACACATCAGACATTTAGGATTTTATGCCAATGTTATTCCTCAGACTCTCATACCATAATGTGTCATCTCATATTTGTCTCTATTTGAGGAATTGTTTCATTGTACTCAAGAGCTTTTTGTTTTTACACCCCTTACCCATTAAAAATTCTCACATGGTTGCATTGTATTGATGTTGCACTTTCAGAACTGCTCTCTAATTCTGTAGAAGAATATTCATAATCTTAGAAAATGCATCATAAAGTGTTTAGGGGAAAAGATCATAATGTTCTCAACTGATGGGACAGATAAACATTCACACACACAGAGAAAGAGCTATGAAGCAAAAGGAGCACAAAGTCATTGACAATAGGTGAGTCTAGGTAGAGGGAATATAAGTATTAATTGTACTTTTTAAATGCTACGTTTCTGTAACTTTGAAATTATTTACAAATAAAGAGTTAAGTACCAGAGTTTTCTCCCTTTTTGGTGAATATCTCCTTTGTGCTTGGTGGCAGCGTGACATCTTAAAAATCCTGCTCATTTCTGTGTGTCTAATAATTACTAACAAAATTCAGTCATCTGTGCACCATCATCGAGGGCTACCTTTACCTGCATGGTTCAACCCTGAGGGCATCTAGTGAGTGCATCTCTCTGAGCTAGTCAGTGCCACATAGTGTATTGAGGATCTAAGATCACATATTGGACTATGGGGAAAATATTAACTCTTAGTGGAAGGAAGATTTAAGGAAGGTTGAATGCTCAAAGTAGCACCTGGATTGAGATTTGAAGTATTAAACTTACAATGCAAAGAGCTGAGAAAAGACATCAACATTCAAGCCTTCATTTACTAAACAAACATTTTAGGCTATGTTATAATAAAAATAGCTAAAAAAGATTAAATTCTGAATAGCACATGGCTACTATTCACAAGGAACTTGAACTGTATGTTTAGCTGTATATGCAAACAGATGTAACAAAATACGTAACTTTGATACTCATGTGCAAAGAGTATAGCTCATGAGGACACAACTGTTCTATTTGTGACATCTGAATACAATCAGTGGAACTGAGAGGGGACACTGGAGTTCAATGTCGAATGGTGACTATAGTTATGATTGTGGGATGCTAGAACAAGGGAAACTTGATCAGGGACATGAGGAATAGGCACAGCACAAGCAAAGAATAGAGGACTGACAAACAGGAGAGAGCACATGCTACCATGGGCCTTTCTTTCCTACTTTAGCCTCATGTTTTTGCCCTTGTGTGACCTGGGGTTTTATAAACAATAGTGGAATGATCAGACTTACATTTTAGGAATGTTACTTCTGTGGTAATTAATTGGAGATGTGCAAGACTGAACATAGAGAGATCAAATAAATGAGAATAGTGAACAAAATAATGCTGATTTAAGTGGAACAGACCGTTGCTCAACACCGGGATACATTGAAGGAGGATATTTGGGTGAGTGGAGGCTTGTTGAACCTGTTACATAAGACCACAATTGTGGTGACTGTCTATAATTTTCTGATGGTCTATGTCCAACTTGAGAGTAATCAGGAACTCCAGGAAGAAGATGGTGGCAGAGCCAGTTGGATTATGCGAGTCCCAGTGTGGTTGAGTGAGTATATGGAAAATTTAGTGTATGTGTCAGTGAGTAAGTGGGCGTGTGAGTGACTGACTGCGTGGGGACTTGGGAGTAAGTGGTCAGGGATCTCCTGGTGAAGCGGTTGGTGCTGCAGCTGCTCTGTTTGGTCTCTAGAACTTCCTGGAGTGCAGAAGCTGAGTGAATTTATTTTTCTAAATCAACAAAGTCTTTCCCAGGAAGAAGCTTCCAGGAGAGACTGCTGGCTTCAGGCTCAGCCTCACCACTGCAGTGCCTGACCAACACTGGAAGTAAGGGAGGGAGGGAGCACAGCAAGGGAGCCCACAGGCAGAGCCTCACAGGAGAAGATGAAAGAGGCATCTTGCCACCATCTTGAAAATGGGATAGGAAAGTGCTCTGGCTTGCTCACCCTGGAGTGACAGACTTGATCTCTGTGACCAGTCTACTCAGGGGTTGATAGACCCAGAGGGAATATCCTGAAGTCACACTTTCTGGAGGGACAGGACGAGTGCTGAGTCTCAGGTGCCTCACCTCCTACCCTGATTCAGCCACAGGACAAAGGGCATGGCCAAGAAAGGATGAGGAAGACCTCCACAGAGATCAATGGTGAGTCTGGGGCTGACCTAACCCCTCCTCCCCAGCAATCCTCTGAATGTCAGATCTGCACAGCTGAAGCATGACTGAGAGGGACGAATCCAGGCAGAGCCTGGACATCAGCTGCAATAGGAGGACTCTATACCAAGACAAGCCTGGCTGGGGCACCCCCTGCCAGTACCTGGGGAAGACACTGGAGGGGATCTCCCTGACCATACTAGAATGGGAGGAAAGGATTGAAGACCCACCCACCCCCACTGTACCCTTTTCCTTCCCTGGACTGGACACTGGAGAGATTATGAATGAGCCCAAGCTCTGCAGCAGACAGCAGAGAGGCTTACCTGTGAGCAACTGAGAGGAACAACTATAGAAACTGCCACAAGAGGGCAGGTGGTTTTATTTTTTTAAACTTTTACGTAGTTTTCTTTTGTGTTTGAATGTGTATGTGAGGGGTTCGAGCAACATCTCTCAACCTTTTTTTCTTTTCTTTTTTTTCTTTTTCTTTCATTTTTGTATTCTGTTTATATGTGTATGTGAATGATTGATTGTTCATCCTTCAGGTTTTTGCTTTTACTTTTTTTGTTCTTCTCTTTTTTTAGTTTGACGCATGTGTGAATATATGTATGAGGATTCAATTTGAATTCCTTTTTTTCTCTTTTTCATCTCCTTTCATTTAGTGTTGGATGTGTGTGTGTGTGCTTGGTTTCCTGTTTTTTGTTTGTTTTTTGATTTGTTTTGCTTTTTTGTTTTTCCAGTTTGTTTTGGTATGTGTATGTTTAATTGTTCTTTGCTTTGGTTTCTGTTTTTGTTGTTCTTTGTTTAAAATTTTTTTTTTCACATTTATGTCCATCTTATTTCATCCTACTTTTCCCTGTTCTCCTCATTGGGGTTACTGTATCTTGGACTCACAGGGTACACACACATACCTAAGGCATTATCATATAGAGTGGTGGTGGGGAGTGGGTCTCAGGGGACCCATACCATAATCAGTGAACATTGTGATTTACAAGTAGTTTCTAACTAGGATTCAGAAAACCCTCATCTTCCACAATATTCAACTCTCAAAACTACAAGAGACAATAAATCTTCCCACCCACAGCTCTGGTTCAAAATAGAACAAAATCAGAGCCCTGATCAGGGAAGAATCGTGGGCTGAGTAAACATCAGAAGTGAAAGCCTCTCCCACTGCCACTGAATAATGGGACTAAAGAGAAAAGAAAGAGTTCTGTCAAAAATGAAGAAAAAATCAATGGAAGAACACAAGTAAGAGAAAAATAAGATCCCAGAACCCGGACAATAGAAGTTGCCAACAACCCCTGACCTAGAATATAAGAGATTAGGGAGTGGATGGAAAAAGTAAATAAGACTCAAGAAAGACAAGATGCAACACTGAAAGAACTTGCAACAGAGATTTTGACAATAAAAAATTTCATCCAGGAAATAAATAACAAGATGACAAGCATAGAAAGCATAATTAACCAGAAGAAAGAATCTCAGAACTTGAAGTCAAAAACATGGAATTAACCTGATCTGTGAAAAACATAGAAACTCAGAAAAAAAGAACAAAGCCTACAAGAGATGTGCAGTTATATCTAGAGGCTGAATCTATGCCTGATTTGTATCCTAGAGGAAGAAAAGGAAATGGAGAACACTTTGGAACAAGTATTCCAGGATATCCAAGAAAGCATTTTCCATCTCACGAGAGATATGACTATTCAAACTCAAGAGATACAGAGAACCCTCACAAGACATCAAAAAAAAAAAAAAATCCCTAGACACATAGTAATTTGCCTACAAAAAGTAGGTACAAAATAAAAAATCCTAAGGGCAGCAAGAGAGAAAGATCAGACTTTCTACTGGGGAAACCAATCAGAATAGTAGCAGACCTATTGACAGAAACACTACAAACTAGAAGGGACTGGAGTCCAGTATTTGAAGTCCTCAAAGAAAAACAATTTCAACCAAGAATCTCTACCCAGCCAAACTCAGCTTCATCAGCAATGGAGAATTAAAATCCTTCCCAGACATTCAATCCCTAAGTGATTATGCAGCTTTCGGACCAGCTCTAAAGGAGATGCTTAAAAATGTATTAAGCACAGCTGAAAGAAAAGAGAAGAATGACCATGCACTTTCCAAAGAACAGCAGAACACAGAATCAACAGAGACTATATAGCCACTGCAAACTTGAAAACACACACTTACATCAACCCCAAAGATAAAAGAAAGCAAACAAAGAAAAACTTTATAAGAACCTCATGATGGGAGTAAATAATCGCATTTTAATAATCAGCATGAATGTGAATGGACTAAATGCACCACTGAAAAGACAGAATGGCAAACTGGATAAAAAATCATACTCGATAATTTGCTGCATCCAGGAAACTCATCTCACCACAAGGATTGCACACCAACTTAAAGTTAGAGAATAGAGAGTTTCCAGGCAAATGGATCTCAAACAAAGGCAGGAGTTTTGATCTTACTGTCAGGCAAAACAACCTTTAAGCTATCAAAAATTTAAAAAGATATGGAAGGACACTCTGTAATAATAAAAGGTTCAATTCATCAACAAGAAATATTACTCCTAAACCTATATGCACCCAACACAGGAGCACCAGCATTTATAAAGAAACTACTAAGTACATTAAAAAAGATATTGACTCTAACATTATTATAGCTGGGGACTTAAATACTTTACTAACAACCCTAGATAGATCATTGAGGCAAAAAAAGTCAACAAAGAAATCTGGAACCTCAACTTGACACTTGACCAAATAGACTTAATAGATACTTATAGAATACTCCACCAAATAACCACAGAATATACATCC